CATTGCTAGTGTGTTGATTCCACCAAACCCAAGCAACGCTACAAAGACACCTATGTTCGAAAACCTGTAGCCGCTTCACATCTACTTTCACTGACCACGCCTCAGCAGCATCACAGAAAACAACGAACTTCAACTCCGTATACTTGTCCTATAACAGGTAGTTGGATATCTCATCGGTCGGCACCAGAGATGATGCAATTTTGCAAATACCGGACAGGGCTTTTGTATCGGAGCTGAGATTTCGTCAGCTAACAGCCCATTCGAGCTGATACAACTCCCTAAGTAAGTGGGGTGGTCAACGCATTCTACCAATTTACTTCCTATGTTTTAATTGAAATTAACTTCAGATCAAATCTGAAAAGTCATCTTGCATCTGACAGATGTAACACGCAAACCGAACTCAGATGTATGCACAAAGCATCTAGAATACCCTCTATTTGGAAGCGTATTCACTTAGCGGGGCAGTGTCGTCTAAGTCAACCAGATGCTTTTCACGAAGTAGACCTGTTTCTGTAAAGTCAGAAGTATCTACGATTATGTTCATTAACACATCTATAACGAAGTTAAACAAGGCTGACCGACAATCAACGCAGAACCTGGCACGCTCGTGCGTTGTTTTAAGTTACCACAATTTATAGTAGTGCACAAGGAACAAGTGGATAACAAAAGACCCAAGTTGATAAAGTTGTGTGAGAGAATAAAAAATCTGAAGATAACAGTTTGTGCGAATATTCAAGCTTTAGACGATGGCCAAGAGTGAATACATCTGCACCATTGTGACCAATTTTCAGCCATGTCAACAACAGTCCTCAACCACTGATTCCTCTCGCTTCACTGACCCCAACCAGCCAGTCTGTATGTCCCCAAACGATTCACAACAGTAGTCATACGCTTCATTGACTGGTATCACGTCTTGATCTAATCACCCTGAGCGTTCTTCCAACTGAGTCCAGCTTCCCGTAGCATGACACACCAAGGTAAGCAGTGAGTCGACATGCACACCACATGTCCAAGACATCTCAGTCGACTAAGATTCACAACCTCATCAATCGACTTGCTGGTCTGTCTTGTCTAGTACCCTTCGTCTGACTTCAATATTCTTCGCACAATCATCTCAGCAAACGTGAACAATGTTACGAAGACACTTGTGATTACAACCGTGAAACTGCTTCATGTTTTCTACCTTCCATGGTCATGTCTCACGGTCGTATTACAGGACAGAACGAACTGAAGTGCATTATACTCGTCCTTTGACAGCTAGGTATCTTTCCAGTCGGCTCCACAGGTGATGCATGTTGGCAAATTCTAGACACCTGTATCCAGTCTGTGATTTTCTCAGTAATCAACCTGTTCTGGTTGATACAATTCCCATGATTAAACTGGGAGTACTTGCTTTAGACTTATGCTAGAGCATCAATCATCTTACGTATGTGAGGTATGGAGTCTTTAGCATATCTTCATCAAATGCATTTCATCGCTCTACAAACACCAAAGAACCCGAAATGCTTTGGCTGCATAACTACTACAATTCGCAGTTGTGTTTATTTCTTGGTTTACAATAACCGATAGGTCGTCTCATTCTAAAACCCGAAGTATTGATGAGTCAGTAACTGTATTTACTAGAGTGAACACTCCTGGTGGGCGTTATTAAACTTTTGCTTTAAATCTATCCCAGGATCCATGTTTTAGGCCGTTCAATCAGCTCATCATGATCAGCTCGCGGTACGAACTTATCATCATCTTGGGCGATCTTCCATATCTTGACGACATGGGCGAATAACAGTAATGGCGGTTTGAGCATCTTCGTAATTTGTCAACGTGAATAAGAAAAATTAGAGTCCTGGGGAATATAGATGACAACAGGTTGCTACTCAGACATTCACTCTGACTCTTCACCTCGTGTAAATACTCCCTAATCCACGCTTGAACCCCATTATCAGCATCAAGATTACGCAACTTCTTCATCAACTCTATCTGTGACAACCAAAAAATGAAATCAGCAAACATTACTTCCATAATGTGTTTATTGTCTTGAGCCTCCACTCAGTCTTCCTTTGCTAGAAGATTTGTCAAACACGAATGTCCAGCCTGGAAGCCATTTTACTCCTGTATCAGCATATTCGTTTCTAAATGCTGCAATATCTTATCACGTATTGTCTTCTCCATTATTTAAACTACAGTAGTAGTAAGGTTAACAGGTCAACGGTGGTTGTCTGTTACCCTGCTTAAAAACAGGGCTAACTTTTTCATGCTTTTAATTCCCAAGGAGCCTCGCCTAGGATAAAGACATAATGGATAGCACAGTTAAAGGTGCATAAAAAACATCAACTAACAGTAACAACCTTCTGAACCTGATGACTTTCCAGGCTTTAGGCTTCCGAGCAGTTGAAGAACTGTTTTCTTCATGATTCGAATGGGGTCCATTAAGAAAATGTTAGTAACACTCAGTATGCAAAATCCTTTCAGCACTGTCGGCAGAAAACAGCTAAAATAGCTGGGTAGACATTTTACTCTAGTTAGGTCCGATTCCGCTTCACCGTATGATTATCAGACAGCAACCCCCTCAATCATTTCTTTAATGTTACTAGATTGCGGTAGAACAACTACGTGAAAAATAATAGGCATACATTACTAAACCAAAACAATTCTGTTAGTGCTATCAATGCTAACTAATTGAAGTGGCTTGGGTGAGTGTGACACTTACTGTGAAGTGCAGTATTAACCGAAGGAACGTCTAATTGAGAGACAGCCACATAATTTGACATATCGACCTACTAGGCAATATCGTGAACCATTGTTTTGTTACTTGGTTCTACAAGATGACAGTATGTATTCATAGACATCACAATCTAATATCTCACGTCATGGACCCACTCATTTGACAAAAAAGTGCAATTAGTCGATGCTTATGCAAACTTAAGTAGTACCGGGAATTTTATTAGTTGACTAGAATATTAGAGTATTAAATCCGCCTAGCGAATATCGTGACACTCAGCGCTTACATTTATACATGGATGCGGTAACTTTGGAAAGCGATCACTGACTAACCTATCATAAGTGGTAAATGATGCGCTACAAAACCAAACAGAACGACAAGGATTAGGTATAATCGTAGTGGGTCAACTTATTATTTTCACTTATCAGTATACATTGTGTTCTAAGGGAACTCAGACACGTAAAGTATTTAGAAGTGTACTGATGGATACTTTCAGATGGAATTCGAAAATACCGAGGATTCCATATCTAAAAAAGAAGGCAACAAAATTCCTGAAGAGTGACCCGCAATGACGGGTTTTAAGATCCGCTATATATGTACATTAGAATAGCTTTGAACTGCTAAATTATCATCTTTCCCAGGAAAAATGAGTCACCTATTGTGAAGCTCATATTTCGACAAATACACTGTTACTGATGAGACTGTCTGAGGACATCCCTGGTTTGGCAGCCCGTTATTTTTGATACGGAGTGATGATTGTGGCTAAAGTGAAAAGCTGGGCCACACAAGTTTTGTTACCGACGGCCTCCCCTTACCAATCCAGTATTCTGCAAACTGAATCTCAAAACCCAGCTACTGACCGAATCTTCACATCACTTCAATCACCAAGAGTTTTGCCCGACTACCATGTGAATCTGTGATACTTTAATATCCGTCCATCGTAATCACACTGGGTGCCTAGTCAGGTCTACTCGTCTCAATGGAAATTGAACTGATTTACAGAGGAGGAGCGCCATATTGACTAGTAGTGAGACATCTGACATATCCGTGGTTTTGCGGACCGAGATCGTTGATTCAAGGTGACGATTGAGGGTGAAATGAAAATCTGGGTTGTTGTTGATGTAAGTGAACAGTTGTTCGACAAATTTTTTACTCTTCTTTCTTTTATGTACCATTATTAATGACTATTTTATACCTCAATTCTTAGCTGGGATGATGTTTATGTGTAATGTGTCATACACTGTTTCATTTATGTACTTCCTATCTCTACTGTATGATGAGTTGTAAACTTCAGACATCATAATTTCGTCCAGTACAAAGTCAACAAAATCTCGGAGGATACACTTTGAACCATAAATAAGCCCTCAAGAATGTCAACTGGATTTCCTGTTCTTCACTTCTTAAATGACAGCTAAAAAATACGTGCACACATAATAGTTTGCTATAAAAATTCAACTGAACGTATCATTCTAAAAGCATGCTGGAATGCAGTTATTTTATGAAGCATGAAATATCCTCATCTGTCAATTATGAGTTTTTCCAGATACTTGTCTAGTCATGCACTAAGGGAATATGACAAAATGTTTTTAAAAAAACAACTTGCGGCTATTTTCGTTTGATTTAGGAATGTATCAAGTGCTCAACTATGTTTTCCTTTTTATCTCTACTGTTTTTATACTTTTAGCTCCTGAAAAAAACTTGCCTTAAAGGCAAAAATGGCTATATGTCATAAAAGTTCTTAACTGAAAGTTATCTACTGAATATTTTGGTTTCAAATGACACTTTTGAGAGTGAGTTTCAACTGCTAATATCCTGGCTTTTTTAGATATTGTGTTTACATGGTTATCGGTATTGCTTATTATACAAATATTAAAGTACTTTTTGATACAGACAGAATTCTGATATTTTTCGAGAAAAGACAGGTGGATTTCGAAAGTCACTAAAAAAGTTTTGTGAATTCAGTTAGTCAAATTTGTTAATCTTACTTCGTTTAGGTTTCGTGTGTGCACCAAATATTGTAGGCGATTCTCTTTCAAATGGTCAGTGTTTCTTCTAAATAATTTGAAACTCTGAAAGGTTGTGCTTGGTGGTTTTCCAAACCTGAAGGATTTTGTGCTGATGAAAAGAGTGATTATGATGCTGGCTTCCGTGAATCTGTGGCAGTTATCAAAAAGCATTTTGAAGAAGAGGTATGCAACATAAGTGTTTCTAATTCCTACGGGGTCCTTTCGACGGGATGATTGGTTTTAGTCAGGGTGCAGCATTTCTCCTCTTAATGCAAATCATGATGGAACACAAATTAAATGGTACAACCTTATACAAGTGATTATTTAACTTCATATATCCGAAATTCTACATTATATTTTTATTAGTTTTGTAATTCTCATACTGTGTGTTGACAGTTATTATTATTATTATCTATTATTTGTCCCTTGGGTTCCTAGTGGGACATAGGGCTTCAGTAGCACGTCTCCATTTCACTCTCTTCTCTGCAGTCCTCTTAACCTGGCCCGATGTCTGCCCCCAAGCTTTCATTCCTTCCTCACACGATCTCCTCCATCCCAACCTCCAACGCACAACTCGTCATTTCCCATGCGGGTTCGATTCGACGGCCTGGTCTGGCGCGTGATGTTCCCAATCGGTCTTCTCGGTGTATGCGCAATCCATCTCCACTTTCTTCTACATATTTGTTGTGTGATGGGTTCTTAGTGGATTCGTTACCAGAGTGAGTTCCTTGTTGCTTATTCTTTCTGGCCATGTGATCTTCAGTACTAAGTGAGCGTAGGCCACAACTGTTGATGTATGTCTGTAGTTTGTTGGAAATGTTGACAGTTACCACAGCCTTATTCCTTTGATGATCATAGTTATTAACCAGTGTCTATTATGTTGGCATTCGGAGTTGTGTTTTTGCTTGTATGTGGTTCGTACGCCTCCGTACATGGAGCCTATACTTCAAGGCTTTTTAATAAACGACATCAGTTATTGTTTATGTAGACTTTCACCGTAAACTGATGCAAAGTGTTTTACTTGTCAAGTGAGATTCAGTGTATGTTTCGCATAATTTTGTTGATACACAAAACTGTAGAGCAGAAATAGGAAAATTACGATTGTCTACCTATTTGTTGACTTAAATTGTACTTAAAGGTTCAAACAGAATATCCCATATACTGACTTTGTTCAGCAATCTTCCTGTGCTTGGAGGTATGGCTCAGAGGTCATAGGTTTGAGCCCTTCCCCATCGACCTCGGTTTTGGCAGCCAAGCTGTCATACAATATGTAGCTGAGTGCGTTTTGTTCTATACCATAAAAATAGTTGCTAACCTATGATTATTGAAAATCGTGTACTTCATGTACAATGGAACTGGTCTAAGCAATACTGAAACTATATATTTGATCAAATGACTGCCCACAGTTGACCATCTTCAGCTTACTAGTTTGTATTTGACGGAAATATAACCATATTTGTGTGATGCAACATTTAGTTTAGGAAGTTATCATGAAATAACCTGTCAATTCTAATTACTTCGACTTTCTTGTTTTAATACATCTTCAACCTGAACAACCGGATCGTCTCATAAACCCTCATACAATAATTTTGACTCATAGTCGAGTAGATAAATAGTTCTACATAACTGAATTTCAGTTTCTTTTTCTTATAACTGATGAATAAAAACGTGACACTAGTTAATAACTCGATTTTACCTGTGTCTTCAATGCTTCATAGAGTTAGTTTCCAACTATACAATAACATCAGTAACCTGCAGTACTTTCTGTATAGTAGGATGAAATTACGCTAGTGATTGTAATAGACCAACAAACTTCTGAAGTTCTAGTTGTTTTTAGTTATAACTCAGCAACTCAAGAACAAGATAATTGCTCAGTGAAGATGCAGTTCATATTATTGAAGACAAGTTTAATGGAGTAGCAGAGGTCGTTTATTAAAAAATTACAATCAGTAACTACAAAATATTAAATTTGAACAAAGCAAGAAGAACAAAATTCACAGTCCATGATGAATACCAACTTATGTTCTGAGAACAAGTTAAGAGAAGAAGTAAACTGCACTGAGAAGTGTCTCTGAGAGAATGAATATTCTAAGAGATTTATTATGAAGTGTGGGAAAGAGCAGATTGAGAGAAACAAACACCCAACTTTGGAAAAGACGGTTTTTATACATCTTACATTCAAGGGAGATGCAATTTCCAAGGGAATGGACACAAAAACCGAAGGAGGACTAAAAACGAACCTTCTAGCAACTTAACTTATATCCGTATACAATAACACATGCTTGTCAAACCAGCACTTGCGGTAGTAAGTACATTTGAAGGACTGAGAAGAGTTTATCCATTCATTTCGCCGAGCATAACCTCAAGAATACGTACTTTAAGTGAAGTAAAATTCTAACCAATACATTCGCCAGACACCTCATAGACACAGACATCAAGTTCAAACTCCAAGTGCTTTTAAACTAACTAACGTACAGAGAATGTCTGGATTACTTCGTTTCACGGAAACAATTGCATGAAACGCTTCCAACCTGACCTTTTCATACAGACGAAGAGTGTGGTTAGTCTCTTACTCCCTTGGTGAATGTGATTTGATCCTGTTTCATTCCAATCACATAACTCTTTATTTATTCATTGTTTTTTTTCTTATATTTCCCACCCATTGTATAATTAATTCTCTTACACGTTATATAGATTATCAATGATAAAATGAAACTATTTTATTTAGCAAATTTCATCTTTCTTGCTTTGTTTAAATTTATCAAGGGATATAAATGCAGAAAATTACTCCTCTAACTAAAAGTGGTTAATTCCTAAGGAAAAAGGTAACAAGAAATGACTGGTAAGATAGTCTAATAAAATGTTTGCTAAGTATTTGTGCAACAAATGCGAATTATGGATATCGGAGTTGAAAATGAATAGCATAGGGGTAATAATTTGAACAATAAGACTTTCAATTAATTCTGGAGCAGGTTATTATTATAGTTCTATCATTAATAAGTGTCAGTAAATCAGTAGTATTTATCTCCAACAGTTCACATGGATTTCAAAAGAGTTATAAATCTGTATTTACAGGAGCTTTATAATATATTCCCCTCCGTTATATTTAAATGTATCGTATTAAAACAAGGATATCTTTGTATATTGAAAGACTTCAGCGAATAAATTTGTAAGCTTTTCACTAATCCAACTGTAAATCCTAACACCTAAGGCTAAATATACCTGTATATCGAAGCCAAACAAATTCCACATTCAGATCCAGTTTGAGAATGTATTTTATCAAAGGAATGGTTTTGCTACCTCATCTGTAGAACATCTAGAGCACTTTAGACCCACATTACTTGATTGTTCTCACCAATTCTTGAACATTCAACCAAAACAGCTCACTTATATGATTGAAGATCACATCAACCAACGGTGAGGATTGAACTGGAATAGTAACGACAGTGGTCGGGTCTCGCCGGGAACCTGGTGGGTTGCTAGTTCGAATCGTGTCACGGCCCAAGTTTCATTTCACCTTCAATCATCACCCAGAATGATAACTCGTCCTGTGTTGGTATCATTCTGATGTACAGGTAAGATTATACCGACAAAATATATGAGCTTCTTTCAGATAGAAAACAGATTCTCCAAATCAGTGATTGAAAAGAAGAGAACAAAGACAAGTGGACGTCGATTGATCAGTCGTTAGTTCGAAACCCCACGTTTAAGACCTACTGGGTTGAATATTTCTCACTTTCTACAGGGTACCCAAAACTCATAAGACCGACTTGCTGTTACGTCGTTTGTGTATAGAAGGAGACTGCGGTCAGTCTTTCACTTCTTATGTGAATATGTTTAATCCTGTTTCATTTTAATTACATAACTCGTTTATTTATTACTATATTTTCTCGTTTCTTACATTTCCTACTGTTTGTTCAGTTAATCTTCTTACCTGTTATGTGGATAATCAAAGGTTTCATTATACAACTTGAAATTACTGATCTCCTGATTTTGAAATATCATATGTCTCAATAACCATTGTACTTTTAGTCTGTATGCAGCTGATGAGTCTTCATGAAATAAAATGATGACATCATTTGATTCTACAAATTCTGGCCTTCTTGTTTTATTTAAATTTATCAAGGGACCCAGATATATGAGAAATATTAGATCTTACAGTAAAATCACACCAGCATCCCAGTGTGTAGTCTTCATAGTCTGTATATTTCTACTTGACTTTTTAGTCTTCTTACCTCTTAAATCTTCAATTGATCACTATCACTTCTTTTTCCAATGTTGCTTGACATTCCACTGATATACAATCTTATTGGTAGCTTTTACCACGATTGATTGACATAAAATTGTAAATGCTTCTCCTAATAACCTGTGAAGAGTTCAGAGAGATGAAATGTACTATCATGACAAAGACGAATGAATAATGATGGTGCTCTTATGCATCAGTATTGACTAATGTCAGGAATGGTCAAGCGGAGGGTACTGTTAACGCTAGCCAACTATTGATATGAAGCTTGTTAAGTTAACGGGTAATAATCGATAGAACAAATGATTGCCAAACATTTGATATCATAAAATAAAACTCTTGTTTGTATGCAGTAAAAATGATACAAAATATGCATAAATGAAAGCTGAATTTCATATTACCAATAGTGAAATTGCATAAAGTTTTTTATTGATTTACTTAAACTAAATTGATCGATAACCGTTGATCTATGATTTCTTTCTTTGAATACCTTGATATTTCCTATTTGTTTCATTTTGATGGATATTAACTAGTAGTGTAGTTCATGATGCGCTTCCCAACTTGCGTCATTTTTGGCGCCGACGAGATATCCGACTGTCTATTAAACGACGAGTTTACTGCACTTCAGTCCGTTCTGTCCTGTAATACGACCGTGAGACATGACCATGGAAGGTAGAAAACATGAAGCAGTTTCACGGTTGTAATCACAAGTGTCTTCGTAACATTGTTCACGTTTGCTGAGATGATTGTGCGAAGAATATTGAAGTCAGACGAAGGGTACTAGACAAGACAGACCAGCAAGTCGATTGATGAGGTTGTGAATCTTAGTCGACTGAGATGTCTTGGACATGTGGTGTGCATGTCGACTCACTGCTTACCTTGGTGTGTCATGCTACGGGAAGCTGGACTCAGTTGGAAGAACGCTCAGGGTGATTAGATCAAGACGTGATACCAGTCAATGAAGCGTATGACTACTGTTGTGAATCGTTTGGGGACATACAGACTGGCTGGTTGGGGTCAGTGAAGCGAGAGGAATCAGTGGTTGAGGACTGTTGTTGACATGGCTGAAAATTGGTCACAATGGTGCAGATGTATTCACTCTTGGCCATCGTCTAAAGCTTGAATATTCGCACAAACTGTTATCTTCAGATTTTTTATTCCTTCACACAATATCTTTTTCTATCTGCCTGTTTTCTGTGCGCTACTGTGAAATGCGGTAACTTGAACCAATGGACTTGTGTGTGAGGTTCTACGTTGGTTTTGTCAGCCAGTCCCACCCGCATTAATGACTCATAGACTGAGGATGTTGTTGTTGTTGTTCACATTGGGGCGGAAGTCTAGGAGTCATTTTTTTCAATGTCATACAGTTGCTTGTATAATTACTAATCAATTAGGTCCTATAAACTAATCATCATTATTATTTGTCCCTTGGGTTCCTAGTGGGACATAGGGCTTCAGTAGCACGTCTCCATTTCACTCTTCTCTGCAGTCCTCTTAACCTGGCCCGATGTCTGCCCCCAAGCTTTCATTCCTTCCTCACACGATCTCCTCCATCCCAACCTCCAACGCACAACTCGTCATTTCCCATGCGGGTTCGATTCGACGGCCTGGTCTGGCGCGTGATGTTCCCAATCGGTCTTCTCGGTGTATGCGCAATCCATCTCCACTTTCTTCTACATATTTGTTGTGTGATGGGTTCTTAGTGGATTCGTTACCAGAGTGAGTTCCTCGTTGCTTATTCGGCGGCAGCTGATATATATGTGTAGTTTGTTGGAAATGCGCCAACTTTCTGAACCATATAGAAGCACGGACTTGACGTTGCTGTTGAAAATCCGGATCTTGTTCTTTATTCTGAGTGCAGTAGATTTCCACACTGGTTTCAGGTTAATGAAGGCCTGTCTTGCTATCTTTCGATCCTGGCTTTGACATCATCTGTGCCTGTGCCACCTGTAGTCGAAATGATGCTGCCTAGGTAGGTGAAAGATACTACTTACTTTTGATTTCTTCCGTTGATGTTGATGGGTGCTTTTTGTTGTTGTTAATGGTTGGGTGTCTTCATCACCTCTGTCTTCTCTACGTTCACCTGAAGGAAGTCCCGTCTTCGCTGCCTCTTCTGTCAACTTGTTGCTTTGTGCCTGTAGATCTTCGAGTTTGTGCCACACTAGACATAAGTCATCATCGGCGAAATCCAAATCTTCTAGGCTCTTTTCATCAGTCCAGCGTTCGCTCTTCTTCTCGTTGTTCACAGTTTGTTGCATAATCCAGTCGACCACAATCAGGAAGATCATCAGTGATAGTAGGCAGCTTTGTCTTACTCCTGCCTTTACTTCAAAGGCATCATTGAGCTTCCCATCATGAATTACGTGGCATGTAACATCATCATCATATAGCTGTTGAATGAGGTTGATAAAGGTTTGTAGCACTAAAATCGTAGTGTTGAAGCAGCTGTCAAATTACTTCTTCATCGATGCTATCGAAGGCCTTTTTCAAATCAATGAAGTTGAGGTGGAGAGTTGACTTTCATTCTATGCTCTGTTATAAGATGATGCGTAGTGTAGCGTTGCAATTTGGTCCGCACATGATTTGCTCTTCCTGAATCCAGCCAGTCTGTTCCGGTAGTAGTTTTGAATCAAGCGCATCCTCTAGTCTCTCCAGGATGATGCGGCTTAATATTTTGCTTGGGGTGGACAGGAACATGATTCCGCACCAGTTCTTGCAAATGCTTAGGTCTCCCTTCTTTGGGAGTTTGACAAGGTAGACCTTCTTCCAATCAACGAGCAGGTGCCTTTCCTTCCTTTCACACCTTCTCCAGTAGTGGTGTGAGCATGTCCGCTGTTGTCTCTGCGTCTGTTTTCAGTGCTTCTGGCAGAATTCCATCTGATGCTGCTGCTTTCCAGGATTCCAGTAACTTTATGGCGTTCAGGACTTCACTTCTATCTCTGCCGGAGGGTTTGTGTTCACTAGAATACATATCCCCGTAAGGACTATCAAACTCTGAATAAAGCACGGTTAATTGTATTATTCAAATGAAAATAGTTACGATACTTAATGTACATAAAATCTATCTATATGTGTATATATTTCTTTGCAAATTCGAAGATTTTGTAGACTGGAACATGAAACCGGTTAAGTTTACGATATTGATTGCACCTTTCCTCAGTCGCTGTTCCCTACATAAAACTATCTACGCTTATAAGTCAACGTTGACAAGTCTAATTGTTTATGGGGAAGTGGACTCTGTAATTCCACGAGGTGAGTGTTGAATTATTAACAAGAATTTATAATTAATGTTAGCTACTAAAAGTAGAATATTGTTGTTAATCCTTTTACTATTATCGAAGTTTTATCCATCTTTAGAATTTAAATAAGAGTGACTGTCAAATTTACGAAATTCATATGGTATTGTTAGTGAATACAACTTTCACAATAGCATGAACTCCATTATCTTGATTATATTCCATAAGAGTTCAGTTTTTTAAGTTTGTTTTCAGATTATCGTTTAGTTTGTGGGTTTGTTGTTGTATGGGAAGGAGGTGGGGATGAGAACTAGGAAAGCACCGTAAATGTTTGGTAGTGGATGATTATTATTCAGCTAGCATAAAAATTTCCCGTTCCTGCTAACCATCCCTATAATAGTTATGTGATGAACTGTCATGAACTGAATAGCCGACTGCCATCAACTGTGATATTTTTGTGTAATTTTGTTGTTAACTTGTATACCGATAAATTGGAGACATTTTAAGAATGCGCGAGTGTACATTTTGACATTTGTTGACATGTGATTAATTAAAACAAGTACAAAAAGGAGTAATTTGATGTACTATATATATATATAATGGAAACGTTTTGGCAGCTGACAATTTCAAGTAGACCACACCAAAGAATGACAGGTACCTCGCAGTAATAAATAATGCTTGATAGTTTTTAAAATCAAAACAGCGGCTGTCATCTATACTCATAATGAAGTTAAGTATGAGTGACCAGTATCTGATATGAGAAGTATCATACTGAATTGCTTTTCTCACCGTAATGTTTGTTTGAGGTCTGACTGGAAAAGGTGCTGTTTATTATTTTTTTTTTTTAAAGCCAACTAGGTTTGTCGATATAATGGAAATCCATTCAGCAACCCTGTACACATTCATGCAGTAGGTGGTGCGGTGTTCAGACCGACGACCCGAAACTCGACTTCTGTTATATATGGTAAGAACCTACAAGTTTCAGCATAACACCGGCATACATCCCCCCCCCCCTCTTAGACTGGTTGTTTGATTCTCGTATCATATGAACACAATCTGCTGGTAGTGACTGAATTATTTGTGATCTTAGCTTGGGGTAAGAAGGTGACGAAATGAAGGCAGCTACGTTTTGTAGCGCGAACAACTTGCATTGTGACAAAGTTATGGGTGTGAAACCTTGCAGAGCAGAGTTGTGATAGTAGTGAACTGTTTCTTTTGAGCAATCAGAATTGTGGAAATGTGACTGATCGGCTTGGAAATTTGACTTTCAAGCATTGAGTCCTGGCTTCGAACGCCGTTCCACCTATTTTGACCTTCATTATTGAATAGTATCATATTTCCTTGTACAACAGGTGTAAGTCGTAGCACAGTACGGTGACATGTACCGGCTTGAGCTACAGTATGATTTATTAGTCAGAATTCTTTTGGAGGAGAGGGCTTACAGAGAGATCCGTTCCTAAAAGCTCTGTTTTTTTCGCTTCGTTCTGTTGGTCATCCTTCCGCAACTGTCATATCCTAAATGATGTCAAACGCTATTTGTTATTATTTGTTCGTGTTATGACCAATCCTTTTTCAAGTTAAGAACATAAACACTTGCACCAGGTGTATTGTTTTTCTTTCAAAAAGCAAACATGTAGTTCTAGATAGGATTTATATAGAACAGAATATCCATCATCTTTTATCTTAAAGCGCTTATCCCTCTTAATCAGGATTTTTACCAATTCCTCTCCTCAGTATTTTTCGTCTTATGATGTGTTTATAGGTAGACATATCATTTTTTTTGCCCCAGATATGTCCTGGATTTATGACGATATTTTATTATTATTATTAGTCCCTTGGGTTCCTAGTGGAACATAGGGCTTCAGTAGCACGTCTCCAGTGACCTCTTTTCTCTGAGATCTTTTGAACCTGGCTCCACGACAGCTCAGAAGCTCTCATTTCTTCCTCGCACGACCTCCTCCATGTCACCCTCACCTCGGACGTCCAACTCGTCGCTTCCCATGAGGATTCCACTCGAGTGACTGGCCTGACGCGTGCTGTCCTCAGTCGGCCTTCTCAGTGCATGCCCAATCCATCTCCACTTCCTTCTGCATATTTGTTGGGTGATAGGTTCTTGGTTGGTTCGTTCCCAAAGCTCCTTGTTGCTTGTTATTTCTGGCCATCTGATCTTCAGTAGCGAGCCAGCGTAAGCAGTTGTTGATGAATGTCTGTAGTTTATTGGAAATCCCTTCGCAACGCGCCAAGTCTCTGAACCATACGGAAGCACTGACTTGACGTTGGTGTTGAAAATCCGTATCTTGTTCCACATGCTGAGTTCAGTGAAGTGGATCTCCACACTGGTTTCAGGCTAATGAACGCCTGTCTTGCTTTTCCGATTCTGACTTTGACATCCTCGTCTGTGCCTGCATCGCCTGTAGTTGAAACAGTGCTTCCTAGATAGGTGAAGGAGGTTACTTCCTTAAGTTCCTCCCGTCGATGGGATTGGGGCTTGTTGTTGTTGTTGTTGGAGTTGTTGGTTAGGTATCTCCATCACTCTATCTTCTCTATATTCACCTGAAGTCCCGTCTTCGCTGCCTGCCTCTTTTGCCAACTTGTTAGTTTTCGCCTGTAGATCTTCAAGTTTGTGTGACATCAGGCACAAGTCATCGTTGGCGAAATCCAGATCTTCTAGGTTCTTTTCCTTAGTCCAGTGTATCCCCCTCTTCTCGCTACCCACTGTTTGCTGCATGATCCAGTCGACCACAATGAGGAATATCATGGGGGATAGTAGGCAACCTTGTTAAACTGAGCAAAAACAGTTAGAAATATGTTCCCGAGAAATACTTTATTGTTGGATGTATGATTCAATTTCCCATATTAAGCGGTTGTAAGGACAAAATGGATTTGGAGAAGTAGTGTTTTGTGATTTTACATTAGCTGCTTACAACCTGAAACAGTTTTAATTTCAGAATATTCAAAACTTATATACATACTCAAGTCAATTTGATAGGAAATTTTTGACTCTGAGAAAAGATAACATTGATCTTGTGTAATTGATTTTATAAGAACTTTGCGATTAGGTGTTACAAAAAGCTGATAATAAAGTTGTTTATGGCTAGAAAGATTCAAGGAATATTCTAGAGAGAAGAACAAAAGTTGGATAACAAGAGGAGACAATTGTATTCTTGATATAGAGAAAGATGTTACATTGAAATCTGAAAATAACATTTTGAAACAGGCTTGGAGGATTTACACTCGTTATGCAAACAAGAAGAGTAGAATTCGGACAATAAGGTCATGGTTGTAAAATAAAACCAACAGTATAGTATCAGGTAGTATCGAGGCATCCACATAGGTGCCCATCCGGCGATAGAGGTCGAGCGATTTGACGCAGTATAGCAACGGGAGATTATAAGTATTAAAACAACAACTGATACCAGTTGCACAAGATCTGGTTATCCTGTCGTAGTCGTCTTGTGAATAACGCTTTGACGTTTGAAGCAATTGTCCCTGGACTCGAGTCTCATTGGGGGTGTAGATTCGTCCAGCTGACGAGCCCCAAATAGGCCGAGATGCGCATCCTAGATCCCACTGCTTACCACCAGGCAGACATCAACTTGTCGATATTTTTATTTATACTTGACCAAATTATGTAGTGAAACCTATTTTCATCATCCCATGTGAAAATCTTCGATATTCTGTCTTGTTGTGTTTTTAATGCTTCGGTTCATACATTCTTGAATATAGCCAATCTGTTTTCAATTACACTCCCTCCTCCACAATAAAAATTCAATAAATTTTGTCAAATAGATTTACCTAAATCTGCATATTTGACTGATTATCAATGAGTTTTTCTCTTCATTTTCTCATGAACAAATTTATGTACTTGTATTTACAGAAATGACTGAAGAAACACTGGATATATTCCTGTCTAAACCACAAGTATTTCTGCATAACGGTGGTCATTACATTCCTACACATACGACTGCGAAACAAGTTTATACTGATATGATTTCAAGATTTATCGACATAAAACAGTGATATACATAAAACTAGTTTCCTATGAGTTTATGAATTTACGACTTTTAAATGAACTCATCATTGTAATAAACACCAACAGTACATCAAGAGAACTATATTTTTTTGACCACACACACACACCTCATATTTTGTACTATTTACTCATTGTATTAGTCCTGAAACAATGTACTGAAGCTGGGGATTTTTCAAATTTGTTGAAATAAACTTGTTTAAACTCGCTTCGTTTGTTATACAGATATAAATTATGAAATCTGATTGGTTGTTAATACTGATGAAAATAAGATCACTTACTACTCCAGTATGCAGATAGTTATAATATTTCGTAAATGGTGACTTATCGTCTGCTAAATGAATCTTTCTTTTATTCAGTATACGGTTAAACGTGGTCGTAGACGATAGTGACTGTATGGAAAGACTTAGGATACAGAGAAGTAACGCATCAGTTCGAAATACTTAAATTATAAGCAGCGTAGAGGAGAAAGAAGATGTTTTGATGAGCATACCCCTTACGTGTGACAGTTACAAAACTTTGTTGGTTATATTCACCAGAAAAAATTATCATATCAAAATTGTTATGAATCTGCATAAAAGATTGTTCAGATAAGATGTTTGGAAACCTGATTAGAGATCAAATGTGGTTAAAAAAACAGAATGGGAAGAAAAGTCGAAAGACCGTAAGAGAAGATGGGCCTGGATAAGTTTCTTTTGTGCATACAGGTCAGGGTTTTTCAAGCGAACAACCAAGACCTCAACCGTGCACCGCTCACCAAAACTGTCTGTCTCCTATGTAACTCTATCGAAGCCAAAAACTATGATATCGACATTCCAATCTAGTAATCAAAGGAATCGTTGTTTCCTCGTATTCCAAACCTCCGATTTCGACTCTACAGACAAAGTGGTGCACTAGCAGTGCGAAGTTAAGTTGATCCTCTACTAGAAAATCGCTTCATGGCAAACGTGAAGAGCACGATGTTACCTACGATGGTTTAGCAGTTCTTTTTACATAAGAGGTGAATGGATGATGCATTAATCTGCCACGAAAGCAGTGATCTGGAAACTTCGCCTCAAAAATCTAGTAGTTATAAGTCAATCCAGTTTAGACTGAGATTTTTGGTAAACTACGAGTTTTGCTAACTTGGTGTGTTTTGTCAAGGAAAGACAATATGATTGTCCTCAAGGGTCGATTTACAAAAAACCAAGATGAAATAAACAGTATACACATTTTTAGAGTTGAATGCATCTGTAGAGGAAGACAAACCTAGTCTATTGATCGGCATCCAGAAGCAGACGAATCCGTTCAGAAAGTGAAACAAGTGATAAACTAGAAATACTACAGTAAGTAGTCAGTAAAAATACTTAACTCTGTGGAATTGAGGAAACTTCAAGTCATAAGAACATGCAGAACAATTCCATACGGTTTAGAAGAAGACCGTACTGTTGACACTATACAACCAGCTATCTAAATTTTTTAGAATAGCACATAGTGATAATGCTCATAGTCGAAAATTGACAAGAGAATGGTATTGCATTTAACTATTTCAATGTCTATCTATAAATTCACTTACCCCAACCGATACCTACTACCCTGTTGTGTTAGTCAGGCTGGCACATCAAAATGATCCAACGCGCTAAACTGGCTGAATCGCTTGTTCCCTCGAAATCTTACCATACCAACAAGGTCAGTCGGATAGTGGTAAGATGAAAAACAGTTATGCTTTTAGTGTAAATTGTTATCCTATCATGGGGGGTTTGAGGGTGAAGTCATACTTCTGGCTAGATGGAGTGTAGCAACAGTAAGCTGTTTGTCTTGGATGACCAGCAGAACCATGCTTATGCTGCCTTCCCCATCAGAATGGGGGTTAGAAAATGGTGGCCACGAAAGTAGCAAACTCCTCGCGCTGCCTTGCGGTATTCCAGTGCCGGTGGGTTTTCGTTATCTGGTGTTAGAACAATCAATTCTCAATCCGAAAACCCTAAAAAGGCTGTGTGTGACAGACCTCGAGCAAATGTCTACTGGGGTCTTCAGTCACATAAATCTGCTCCGTCTCCTCTTCCAGTTACACTGCAGAAAAAAACTTATATGGTGTAGGCAACCGGAAAGTACCGACTGTCTGCACAATTCCAACAGTAAACGAAACCAAACCCCATTCATCTACCTCTTCCAATGACTTCACTTCCTGACACTAATATAAAGCCACATACAACTTCATCAACCTCTCACCCTGTGACCGCTGCCAACGTTCTGGGTCAGCGAAATGCCATTCATAGTTTCATAAAACCCTGCTGACGATTTCAAATTAGAGCTCCTAACGTCTGAACCGTATGCCAAATAATCAGACAGTAGATATCTCTTGAGAAAACTGTAGGATCTAAGGCCATGGATGCATTCTGTGTCTCTGAGACACGTATATAAGACTCGAATAGGATTATTCATTTCAGCGCACAGTTAATACAGTGAATCTCCGATATCCACTTTACGATAGTCCAGCTATTCAGCGGCTAGCTATTGTGAACATGCTGGTGTAGACATAGCACTAGTTTTCCTAGGAGAAAGTGCACTTCCTAACTGCATACCAGTCAACAGCCTACAGTATGCTGTCCAACTTAATGAATCTGTAAGAACTAGGAAGGATCATGAGACTTGCAGATATCTATTCATGATCTTCCCCTAAGCAACCACCGACTGAAGTTCAGATGATATAGAGGATGAATTTCTATAAAAAGCTGTCAATTTCCCTGCATGAAGGGAAACGTTCAGATATAGTCATACTAGCAAGCCACTTTAACGCTCAATTAGGAAAGCCGGTCCATTTGAAAAGGTACCTGAGAGGCATATACTGCACTTCATACCAACTAAATGACAACCGCAATCGTCTCTCAAAATTCTATTCTAAAAATCACTAATTTCAAACATAAGGATAGACACTGTCTCACTTAGTGTCCCTTGACATCAAACCAGGGATGGACACAAATCATAATACTATCCTGTTTAAACTTGAAAAAGAGAGTGGAAGTCAACTAAGAGTTCGATACTTGAACATCAACCTGATCACTCACGGTTATGGAGTTCAAACATAGTTTTCTTTCAGGGTTGTTTTCAAAGTCATACTCAATGGTCTGACAGGTGTACGACTTCAATCAAACATGATTTCTGTGTACAAGAGAAGCATGTACAATACTTGACTATCCTCTAGTCCTAAACACATTCTCCTTACCCTTGTATTTTTACCATTAGTAATTACTTGAATAATGTCACTTTCATTACACTGCTTGTTTCCTTCTTCATCTACTTTTAACATATTGAGTAGGCACTTAACTATCACACTTCACATGTGGAATCGATTCAAGTCTTGTTAAATTTCATGCTTTCTTCACAACTTCCATCATCTGAAGGATTATTATGCAGTGATTTTCGTTGTTCTGCTTAATGCTATGCTATTGATATAATCTGGATTAGTTATTCAATATTAAACGATTACTCATTTCTATCAGTGGTAGATATGATTGTTACGGTCTTAGTAGATCGCATTGAAAAGCAGAATTTCTCTTGACTAAATCGTCTTCTTTTAGTTGCAAGAATGAATATCGAATTGAACCAGATCGAAGCATATCTGATTATCCCGAATATAGTTTTTTTCGTGTGCATGCCTTTCCTAAGTCTCCATGACAATGGTGCGTAACACCTATCGACTTCGCTGGGCAAATATTCTTCGTGCCAATATATCAACCATCTACTGGTTGTGTGGTAGTGCTCTGTGGAATTATCTGCTAAATCAGACATTAATGCAGTTATACACTTATCGTAAACATTTCATTGACTACCTACTAAACGTAACACTATTCTCGACTGCCTATTTGCTGAATAAGTTATGCCTTTTAGTATTTATTAAGTTTCTTCATTATGAAGGAATAATGTTTACTGTTAGTTGGCATGGTCAACATTTCTCTTTTCTGCTATTCATTCAGCTAGGGTAAGGAGATACAACCGAATCTGTAAGAAGTTTATGTAGTATTGCTAGAGTTATCTTTTCAAGCTAGTCACCGATGAAACGCTTCACTTAGACGTCTCAGCCGCTCCATATATTCAAAGTTCTAATATGCTATTTTATAAAAGAATGATCCAGCTTATATTTCCTTTACTTTACTGCATAGTAGTGACCAAAATTGACAAGTGAACTATCAAAAAACTTCTTTTTATTTTTATTTCAAATTTTATCGTGAATTTTAATTTAGAATTAATTTCATCTATTCACCAATATGTTCACTTATTTAAAAGGTATAAGTTCATTGACATATCCAAAAACTTCTTCAAATAAGTTATCGATACCGTCATTGCTGTCGAAGTACTCTACCAAGAGAAAAATAAAAACTTTGAAAGATCCTTATGACATCGTAAACTTCAAGGTCAAAATTTGACCTTGAATGCGCTGAGGATTGGGTAGATGAATTATGAATAAAATATATTTGTAAGACCCCAGTGGGGAAGAAAATAAATTCCTGACGTTTTGCAGCTTGATGAAAATCGTTTCTTCACAGAATAAGACCTGTACAAATTATTGAATATTTAAATGGTAAATGTTGAAAACTGAGATTACATTGTCCATACATGATAATGATATGGACATAAATGTCATTGATCTCTGTTATTAGTGGGGAAGTCAAGATGTGGATGTGAAAAATACTATGAACGACAAATTTAGTTTGGATATTGTTGCTTGTATTATATTGTTGTTGAATGGACCGAACTGATCGGTTTCTATTGGCATACGAGCTCCCGCGCGGATCCGTCGATATTACCTTGGTTTGAATTATATAATAATGATGGGTAATGGCTAGCAGTGAAATACAGGATGCGCATTTCATCCTATTCGGGACTTGGTTGCTAGATACATCTACCTCCCAGTGGGCGATGTTGTTTCTATATGGACTCGAACTTGGGGTCGATCGACATAGAGTTATTCACCAGACCACCGAATCACGATAGCCCATATGTTAATAGA